TAGGTATGAGGCACAAGTTTGTAAAGTTACTTCAGCGAACATTAAGCGCATTGTTCAGACACACAACAGAAGCAGAGAGACTATTTGATGAAGGTTTTAATGCAGGGAAATGCAACGCGAAATCGTTAACAAAACACCCAGGCCTGTTCACACATTCCATTTGTTGTGGATGCTGGATGAGTTTTGCGCTGAATTCTTGCTTCCTGTAAATAAAACACTACTTAAACACACACCTTACAACTGTTTAAAACACGAAGTGTATTAGTCAAATTACATTTTTTGTACTGCAAAGCATCCTAAATGTCGGGTCGTAGTTAAAATGACAATATTAAAATTTTATGATGGCACGATTTAAAATATAAATGGATCTTAGGAGGTCTTGAGTTGCTCTAACCAATTGAGCTACCGTGTCCAATTTTTTTTTAGATAGTGACATTATGTGAAAAATATTAAAGTTTTCAAACGTTGAACTCTTTAATTTCATTTTCAAGCATCTTAAGCTACAAAGCATACGACATTAAAGTTTAATACCTAAGTCTTAAGAAAATTACATTGCATTACAAATCAATACATATAAAAAAATCGACCATGGCGTGTATGACACGGTGCCTCAATTGGTTCGATCAGCAAAATAAATTATAAAGTTAACTTATACATTCATTCACCGTTTAACCATTACATGTGTTTCATTTACGTATGTACTCGCACATACTACAGACGATTCTTGTTTCATTTCAGATACTCACTACATCATATTCATATTTCGCTCTCCTGTATACTGTTTACAGGAGCGATTAATATGCAAAGTTTGAGAAACAGTGTTCAGCACTTCACTTGAAAAATGCTTTACACGCGTTTTAAATCCAAAACGGCAGTGATAAAGCATACCAAAGAAATTTGATATCGTTAATATCTTTTATAATGATACCTATTTGTTGTAGTAAAAAATAATATTATGTTTCCTGTTTAAATAATTTACATATCACTCTTTAAGCGTTCCATATATTTTTTTTAATCGTACGAGCTTAGTCAATAGATTCATTACAAAAAAGTATGTGAAAAATTAGGATTTGCTGACACAATATTATCATGTGTTTTAATGGCCAGAATAGTATCTAAAATCTGATGTTCTTGCCTTGAAATTATAGCGATCAAATACTGTCTATAGTTTACGCGAGTAGTACACATTTAAATAAAACACTTTAACGGTTTAAAACGCGATATATTAGTTAAACTTATTTGAAAATGATTTTTAACTTCGGCCCGACGTTTTGGATGCTTTGCAGCAGCCGTGGTCACGGGGAGCCATCGTGACCGTCTCCCCGTGACCGTAAGTTTAACTAATATATCGCGTTTTAAACCGTTAAAGTGTTTTATTTAAATTATAGCGATCACTAAAACTAAGCTGTGTTCGTCTAATATAATTCCAAATTTAAATTGTAGAAGTTTTAGTAATCTTAAGAATAACGAACTTTCATTTTCAAAAGTGCAAACAAAGATATTGATATTTGTTTGCACTTTTGAAACACATAGAAGAACAGAGAGGTGTATCATTCACTTGATGGTACGTGAAAACCTCCCTCATATAACATCTACACTAATTTTGTTGTTGAAAAATTACAAATTGATCAGAGGCATGTTGGATCTAGTGGGATTGGAACCCACGAACCCACATTGGCATTACACAAATGAGTTTAAATTGAGCCGAAAATTGTCATTCGATTTTTAAAAAAACTATCTGCGAGCTCGAAATTCCGCCGTGAATATTTGACGAGGGCAACATTTAGCAAGCAAACATTTGCGGTTTGACGTACATGGTTAATTATGTATGCGACGTAGGCAACGGCAAAAACAAAGGTTACCGTTGCCTGTAACAATATTACGTGAGTTCAGTTAGAGCCACATAGAACCTACAATATTAATTAAACTCTTAATTTACTTTGTCCCTTTACAACGAAAGAGACGAGACTGCAATGTATTTTATAATAAAATTTATAGGGCATTTTAAGTAGCAGTTAATTCTTATGTCATACTATGTCGAACTTTTTTCTTTTTCCATTTTGTAAATGATTTCATAACCAAATATGAATATTGCGTTACGTTACTTAATTATAGGATTACTATTTACTCTATCCATAAAGTATATCAATTTCTTTTAAAATTTGTAACTTGACTTTGTTTTTAGTTTAAATTATTTAATATAGCTAAATACTAAATTTGCTAAAATACAATGCTAAAGTTTTGTATACCATAAGTTAGAAGCTTAAGTAGTAAGAATTATAATTAGAAATAGGGTTTGATTAAAGTTCAGAAGTTTAATAATGTACTCTAGTTGTTAAGTCTTCTATGAATAAATAACTAGTAAACTGGAATAATAAATACAAAATTATCGATTCTGTGGACCATTAATTGAAATTTGAACAAAGGGTTCAAAGCGAACGTTTCTCGGAATTAATAATAAATTATCGTTGATTTTATGCATGATTTGATATGGATTTCTCCAAAGTTTGTTTTGTGCTATATTAATGTATATATTAAAAGAAAAATCTTCCATTGCTTCTAAAGAGCAGATAATATTTTGTAACCATTTCACTTTGACTTTTATTAATTTATTACAAGTACCAACGGGCGTTTGTGTAATGGTAGAAAAATTATGGCTAATAATCAACGGGTCTTGGTTTTGGGTCCTATACTTTTTAAACGAATTCTTAATTTTTCTGAAACATGTTGTATTTCGTCTAGAAATCTGGATATTAGATGGGTGGTAGGAATATCAAAATTTCCGCCGAACCACGAACCACAGAAGAAAAAGCAGTTAAATTGCGTTTCTTTAATATCCAAAGATAATTAGGTCGACATACACTTGATGTTAGGTATTTCATCAAGTGACCACCCCTATGCTTGTCTGTCTTCCCCTCTAAAACCAATTGTTATCAAACCCACGACTTCATGCTGAACGCAATGCTAGACAACGTGGTAAACAACTCGGTTACAAGGCGGTCTGTCAAAGCTGAAGAGTTTGTATGAACGCGCTAATCTCAGGAACAAGGTTCGAATCGAAATAATAGTTTTGTCGTTTAAACCATTCATCGAGAAGGTTTTAGGCAATATGAAGCTGCGTCCAATGGGCGCGAAAGAAACGATTCGAAAAACCGGAAAAACAATGTATGAAAGAATGTTTCTCCTTTAAAGGATCTAAAAAAATGTCCGAGACAGTATCACTCTTATTACAAAAAGAAGAGTAACACTCAAACCTCGTTTAAACCCAGGTTTTGAAATAAGGCAGCTTGTGTCTATTATTGAGGTTAATTCGCAAGAACAATGCGACCAGACGCAGAGGACGTCGCAATAACAGCCATCATTTAAAAAGGTGAGGAGTTTGTTCGAAAAATAACTACCCCACGCGGACGAAGTCGCTGGTACAGCTAGTGTATAAAGAACTAATGAATGGAAGATTCCATTGTTTCAGCGAATCATATAAATCTTTAATGTTACCAAAATGGCAGTTAAGCCGATTATGCTGTTTAAAGCTGCAGCCATGCGGTAAACCGAATACGTATGTGCGCTGTGCAAAATTAGATTAATTAGTTTTCAAGAATTCATGCTGTCAATGCCTCTATACGTCCAATGTGGAAGGCAAACAAGCCCTGGGCTGCCCACTAATGTCACAGACTGTTTGCTCTGCTCACACCTGAGCTGAACTCAATTAAGCCCACAACATATTGAATATGTGGACGAGGGAATGTTTCCGGGTACATTGCTATTGTAATACATGTCACATAGCTTAGTTGTGTATATAATTGTCTTTTGTGGTATACGATAATTAAAAGTAATGTAAAATACCTTCTACTTTTTTTATTTATTGTCACTATCACAATGGAAATTTTATATCGGAGTAAGTGTTTGAAAGAAAATGTAACGCGAAATTATATAACCATGTATCTAAGTTCTGATATCGCTCGTGTTCAATTTCTGCGCGTAGCATATAATTGTTTCGATAAATCATCATCGTCAGCGTTCCGTGCTGTTGTTCTACCAACTGAGTCTAGGTAGAGCAACAGCACGGAACGCTGACGATGCCGGTTCAAGTCCTGCCCGAGTCGAAAGTTTTTTCAATTTATTTTCGATTTTTTAATTTGAAAAATGTTGAGGATGTGGGCATCCCCGGCCCGTTGATTATTAGCCATAAATTGTTGCCATTAGACCACCGAACCCGTCAAAAGTATCTAGTTTATAACTGACACTTTTCCGGCGAAGCAGCATAAATTTTGTCTGTAGTTAAAGCAACACATTTCAATAAATACTTTTAACAGTTTTAAACGCTAAACATAATCTAAAGCTACAGTCAAACTTTTATGTGAGTTACCTTAACTATAACCCAACGTTTCAAATGCTTTGTAGCAGCCGGTGTCACGTGAGAAAGTAGTATATTTCGCGATGTATATCGATTAAAATGTTTGGTTTAAAAGTATTTACAATATATATAACTTTTAATTACGAGATGAATTAACTGATAATAAGTCCCTAAGCAGAAAATGGGTGCTTTCCAACCCAAGATAGGCGGATAATATGTATTTACGCATCAGGTAGGGGTCAAACCACAGCGCGTTTTACGGAAAGGAAGAAAAACACGAAAATAAAAAGCGGCGAAGTTTAATTAAAATTTCCACCATAAAGTACGAGTATTAAAACGTTACGCGGCCCTCGTAGGTACCAACCGGATTCATAAAAATTGTTTCATTATTCTTAAAAATTAATTACACAGTGGAATGAAACATTTTATTTGTATTGTGCTGGCCGTGTTTGTTTTTGATCGTGAGTTACGCATTATCGATTTTATATTGTAATGTCTACATGAAGTTTTTAATTTAAATAAAACACTTTTAACGGTTTAAAGCGAAATATATTAACAACTTATTTTCAATTTAATTTTAAATTGAAAATAAGTTGTTAATTTTAAACGTTATTTGACTGTTTTATAACGATATTTTAACTTTTAGCAACTTTTATCACAGCAGACGAATGCGATATTGACTGTTCCAATGTTTATGATCCAGTATGTGGTAAAGCAATGGCTTTAGGTGGAACTGTGGTTGTCAAAAGATTCCACAATATCTGCTACTTCAATAAAATCCAGTGTAGATTTGGATTCACAGGTATTGTATCAAATTAGGCTGTATGTTAAATTATGTAAGGGTGAATTTACGGCAGCCAATCTATATTGTTAGTGCTACTTTCATATAATTCAGTTCAGTAGTTTCGGAGTTAAAGCCGGACAGACAGACAGACAGACAGAGTTACTTTCGCATTTATAATATTAAATAGTATAGATAACATTTTTTTTTTAATTTTGATTCGATTTTTCATTTGCTTTACAGTATCTGGGGCTACGAAGACGTAATTACGGGTCTTATGTACGTCTATAACTTTTCTACCTTTAATAATGTTTTATTTAAGGTTAAACTCGTGAAGTAAATTTTGTTTCAGCTACACGTAGCAGACACACATCTGTCTTCGTTTTACTTATTGATTTTATTAACAGGGAAGTAATAAGGTAGACTTTTGTTCCTGTGTGATTTATTATGGACCTCAGGATTCGAACTTAGGACCTCTTGGGGCTTACAGCGACGAGGCACATAGAGCCACAGATATTTAATATTACTTCTTTATAATTCTGAAAATTTACAAAACCTTTGTTACTCTACGTTTTGTTATGAAACATCGTTTTAAGAAATTGTATTTATTTTGTAGAGAAAATTTTACTTTTCATTCCATTTTGCGTCTGTCTTGTTAAGTATTTTTACCACAAAAACACTCGGCAAAGTTGTGGCCTAATTAACAATGTTGAGATCTGAGGCATTACAATTCCCTTTTTACAACTGCAATAAATAATGTGTTTTTGCGAGACTACTTTTGAAAAACTTTATTTACCGTAAACGTAAGATGGTGAGTAAGGAAATATATTTCCTAAAAACGACCATAACGTTCACGAGAATAATTAAAATATTAGTTACCTATTTAGTAAAAGAATAAGGAGCGATATTATCATATAATTTTGTTTAGACTACCTGTAGTCATTTAAATAAAACACTTTAACGGTTTAAAACGCGAAATATAGAAGTTAACTTGACTTAATTCTCCTATTGACCGTGGCTGCTGCAAATCATCCCGTTGCGCATCGGGCCGTAGTTAAAGTATACATTAAATTTAACTAATATATTTGGCGTTTAAAATCGTTAAATGTGTTTTAATTAGATTCATAATCTCATAAAGTACAGACAATACAGTTATATTACTGTTTCTAACTTTGCGTCTTTTGGTTAGTAAACCTTTTATGATAAAGCGGTCTTAAGAATAACATTTAGTGGCATTTTGGGATGCAAATTAACTTCTAATTTAAATTAATGTTAAATTAAATTTAAATTAAATTTAAATTAAATTTAAATTAAATTTAAATTAAATTTAAATTAAATTTAAATTAAATTTAAATTAAATTTAAATTAAATTTAAATTAAATTTAAATTAAATTTAAATTAATGTTGCACGAACAGATGGTATAGATGTTACTGAGCCTTTCTCCTCATATTTTTAAATGTGCCAGGTTAAAAAAAATCCACAATGACGTGTAGCCTATATGCCGGTAACTCAATTGGTTAGAGCAACAGCACGAAACGCTGTGGATGCGGTTTTAGTCCTGCCCGTGTCGTAATTGTTTTTTAATCTAAAATTAATTTTTATTTTTGTGCTACGCTCATGTACAATTAAGTCAGATTTACAGATACCATTTCTAGAAGAATTAAATTGAATTATTGTCAATATAAAAATACTGACAAGCCAAACATTATTTTCAGAATTACATCAAATACCAGACGAGGTATGCAAAATAGGAAGAAGTATTGGTATTGGTCGAAGGGTAAACGACTTTAGCGTCGTGGGAGCTCACCAAGCGTGCAACCACACTTGCCCCACATTTTGCCTGGATACATACGACCCGGCTTGTGCCCAAATATGGTCGCAGAATATGCAGACGTATACCTACAGACCAATGATCAACCATTGCCATATAGACTTGTTTTCTTGTGTAATGGGAGTGAGTAAGTAGTTAGAAAATAACAATACAATGGCTTGAACCAACCTCTTTAAGAAGATATAAGCGTAGAAGAAAAGTATTTTTAACGTTCTTGTTCCTATTTATAATTTTGGATTCATCGAATTCAAGCTATGAGGACCCGATTCTGTCTTGAGCCTTAGGATTTGGTAGACCCTTGTCCATCTAGCTACGCTACTAGTTACGTATGTCTGCTTTCATAGAAATTCAAGTAGCACAATTCTATCAAGAAGTAACTTTTTTGTTGTACGTAGTTAAGTGATAATTATTAACTTAACATCGTAAATAGATACTGTCTGTAGCTTACGCGAGTAGGACACATTTAAATACGCGATATATATTAGTTAAATTTATTTTAAAATTATTTCTATCGTAAATTAAAATAATAAACATAATGATCGTTTTGACGACTTTTGAAACAGTTTAGACTTTGGTCTAAACTGTTTCAAAAGTTCAAATACATCTTGTAACATTTAACGACTTGATTACATTTGAATTCTAATTTGAGTAACTGCTTTACCATAATTTCACTTACATTGTTGTTCTATGGCGGCCCAATTAATTAGTCTATTACGCAACCAAAGCCAATCGATAAACCACTGGAATCGCAATTACATCCCCAATTAATTTCAGACGTAACAATTCAGCCGCTTATTGGAAAGTGTTATAAAAACCCGACAGCGCTCATGTTCATGTTTCACATTGCCTCACTGAAGACCTTGAAGCTACTAGATGAACCACCGGCTGTTACTCACGCCAAGCTGACAGTACCAGCGGTACCGAAACGAAGATCTGGCGGTAGTTATATCGATGACGATGAGAATGAGGATTTCGTTCGACTTATCACAAAAATCTATTGAATATGGCAAATCGTCGTTTAGAACATTTTACTTTACATTATTATTATTATGAATGCTTATTTCTAAAAAAGTGTATTGTAGCATTTATTATTAAAATACAGTTTAAATTACTACTTTTCTATAAATGGCGCCAAAATGCCTCGTCGCTGAGTGTGACAACGCGTGACGTCATATGTAGTCACGTTCACAGTTCGCGGGAAATAGGTATACTCAATTGCCCACGAATTACGTCACGCACCATGGCTCCTGTTTCAGTACAGATGCAAAATATCGAAATAAACTACTTTTTATTTCTTTATTTATAAATAATTATATTACATTATTATTCGATATATCATATACCGCATATTTCCTTCGTTTAAGTAATGTTAAGATTTTTATTTGACTATTCGATGTCCTATTATAGTTTGTACTTATATCTTAATATACATGTAAATAAAACACTTTAACGGTTTAAAACGCGATATATTAGTTAAACTTATTTGGAAATGATTTTTAACTTCGGCCCGACGTTTCGGATGCTTTGCAGCAGCCGTGGTCACGGGGAGACATTGGGGGGGGGGCCGAAGTTAAAAATCATTTGCAAATAAGTTTAACTAATATATCGCGTTTTAAACCGTTAAAGTGTTTTATTTAAATGTGTACTACTCGCGTAAACTATAGACAATCTTAATATACAATCAAACTTATTTGACATATAATATATGGGCACAGCCAAGTTACGTCAATGTTGAATGACAGCCAAAGCTGTCATGTTAACATCGCAAATCGACAAATACTGGTTAGACAGTTGGCGATCTTATCAATGTCAAACTGAAATCTACGGATATACACACCGTCGTAGGCTGTTTGTATTTGGTGGATATAATTTTGAATTTACTTCTTATAATCGGTAACTCTTTTTTATTGGATTTGAATTTGGAATAATTATTAATATTGCGCCATTACCAAGTGTTAACATCCACCAAGTTTTATATACGAATAAAATAGGGAGTCCTCATTAGTTAACACCAAGAGTGTAGCGTCTGTAGTTTGCCAGTAGTATCCATTTAAATGAAACACTTTTAACGGTTTAAAGTTCCTCCCACGTTAACTGATACGTTTTGCGGCTTAAATCGTTATACATGTTTGTTTGCTTACATAAAAGCTAGAAAGAAGACATAGACCCGCCACGGTCCTCTATTGGGAGGTTTTTAACAGCTAATACCACTAAATTGGTACACGATATCCGGGACCAGCGGCTTGACATCCAATGACCAAGCACTGTAGTCGTAAAATAAACGAAATAAATTTTTATATTTGAACTATCTCGAGCGCTGAAGGCATTATAACAGACCGGTGCCATCATAATCTTAATCGGCAATCTGTGGGCTTAATTAAATTTCCCCGCCGCATTTAGAGAATATTATAAAAAATGACTTCTTATAACCTCGCTAAGCTCTTTGAGGAGATTAAACCCTAATGTAATTCAGCCACGGCGAAGACTTATAGATTCAATTATATTTTATTGATTGCACAAGCGACGTTTTATTTATGCCAATAGATTGAGTCGAAGATTTAAATATAATTATATCTAAACTAGCTGAACGGAATTTGATTGCAATAAAAAAGTTTCTTGTGAGTTAATCTTAAAATATAAACATATAGTATTAAGCAATTTTTTTTATGCTTACGTACAGAAGAATAATTCATTTATAGATACATATTTTAATTATCTTGTACCGTTTGCAAACGAAACTCACGACGATGAATGATTTTCTCCATTTTTTTTTTGTAACATTTCCCCCTGTCTCCCCAGTCGCAACCGGATGTTTTATAGCTTAAAGCATTCCTTGACCAACACAAAAATATTTCTTTTAATTCGAGTCAGTAGTTCCCGTGATAAGCGCGCTCAAATAAACGATTTAGCTTTACAATATTAGTATAGCTTACCGTCTAGTCTTTCAAGTAGTTATTGCATTTCGTGTCATTGAAGTCCAGGTTATCTTCGCTATTTTAGTGCCGATAGCGTGGTGAATCTTGAATCCACTTCGTAAGAGAGAGGATCTGTACTCAAGAAGGAGACAATAAAAGGCATAAAAGATAACCTACGACAACAATAAATAAATGTGTAAATGTTAAAAATGGCGACGTTGTATTTAAACCAATGAAAGCATTGTTTTAACCTCTTAAATTTTAAGAATGAGTCAGACATTTCAGTTATATTAATTTAATGAGTCATATTCTTTTTTTTAATGATAGATGTGGACAGACACGCATGGGGGCTTACTTGATGGTAGGTGATATACTCCTATAGCATCTAAACAAGATGCACCGTCGACCTATTTTGGCTTTAGACATTCGGAAATCTACAGAAACCGAAACGCGAATAAGCTTATTTAATAAACACCCACTTAAGTCTCCCCGTGACCACGGCTGCTGCAAAGCATCCGAAACGTCCGGCCGAAGTAAAATCATTTTCAATTAAGTCTAACTAATATATCGCGTTTTAAACCGTTAAAGTGTTTTATTTAAATGTGTACTACTCGCGTAAACTATAGACAGTACCCATTTAATATCTAGATTTCCACACGACATCCAACAAGTGTCAGAAAAATTATAAATTATTTTTTTTTAAATATGCCGGACATTGGGGATCATACCTACGACCCGTTGATTATAAGCCATACATTGCTTTCATTAGACCCAACGAACCCGTCAAGTTCTATAATAAAATAATTCTATGATAACAAACCAGTCCAGTTATTAATTCGCTTCCTTAATAATTCTATTACAGTAGCATTATTCATAGAAGAAAAACAAGTGAGTTTAAAGTTTATTTGAAATGTTTCGGTATAAACTCAAGTAGTTCGTCGGAGATATACTTTGAAGAGATAACCCGCATTATGAGAGAAAAGCTGAAACTCAAGTAAAAACTTAAAAACTACTCGACACTTCTTAAATCTATTTCAGTTACGCTTCAAGAAAATTTCATAAGATTCAACCGTGTTTACGTGATTGTAAATCTGTAAAGGTTGCATAAATTAAACGATAGTTTTTTTTTATTTGTTAACCAATATAACCACAACAAATATAGCCGATTTCAAACCACAGACCTAGTTATGACCTTTTATAGAGTGTAGATGATGCCACAGATGAAACAAGGATAGACAATATTCGATTATTATTTAGACATTTTATTAAGTTATTAAGTAGTTTACACGAGTAGTATTTTCACGAGTAGTATTTTTACATTTGCATAGAACACTTTAACGGTGTAAAACGCGATATATTAATTAAACTTGTTTGAATTATGTTAACTAATATATATCGCGTTTTGATTAGTTTAATATATAATCCAATATCTGATATTGTTTCAAGATAATTGTGTGTTAGTTTAACAAAAATGACAACTTAGAAAATATACAATTTAGTCAGTTAAACAATGACAAAATAAAAAGATCAAACTACGATCGCGTGTTGCCATTACAGGCAAGTTGATAAGAATTCTGAGAGTTACCCAATCGGAAATCTTATGTTTATTCTTGCTTCGAACCCCGGAATCTCGATTCACGTTATGTCAGACAATGTTTTTAACAACTCGAAAAAGGTCGTAGAGAAGGCTATTTATTAAAAACAAGATTTATTCTAAAAATAATAGATGGATAAATTTAATTAAAATACATTGAATGAAAAATATACGTTATTTCGGTACGAACACGAAAACTTTTAGTTTGGATGTTTCGGTCGTGGCGAACGGCTTGCGAATGTAGAAACAAAACGAATACTGAACTAGTAAATCACTGGTGATTTATAGTTTATACAACACTCAATAAATGCTACAAAAAGGAAATGAATATTGTGAGTAGTGACTAATGGAAGCGAGGGAATGTTTATTCAGATAGCTTCATGAATGTTGCTTAAAGCTCTGGATAATTCATGCAAAAAGGTTCTAAGTTTGCGATCATATTTCCTGTATGTTACGTAATGTGTGCCAATTTCGAGGGCACGTTTTCTTCCAATTTTGTATACGAAAATATAATTTAAAGTCTGAGTAGAATTTTTATATATAACGACCACGAAAACTTTGATGAATTGAAGTGTTGTTCTAATAGGGCGAACGCGTTTTTTACCGAGTGAAAAAAATTATCGTTTGCCCGTAATTCGAACATGGGAATTCTCGTGCTTAATCAACGTTTAATCACCTACAGATGCGGTCACAATCTGAATAATACCTCATAAATATTTGTTACAATATAATGTACAGACATAATTATTATTGTAACAAATACAATGTCTGTACATATACATACAGAGATATTTGCATATGTCGGAAATGAGACAGACACACTTTTGTGTCTGTTTAATTGATCGATTTACAGGCAAGTAGTTGATTGAAACTTTTTTTACCTTGAATCGATCTCAGGACTACGCTTATTGCAAGTTTTTAGTAATCATGATTAAAAGAATAAATGACACTCCAGGTATTATTAATCTATAATATACTTAAATACATTATGTAGTGTTACCAAATGTTGTATGTACCTACACTGTACTACATGTAACGGTTTACACGAGATATTTTAGTAAATTTTTCTCATTATAATCCAAATTTTGGGATGTTTAAAAATCTTAAGATAAAATTACACGCCTCGCTACGGCTTTTAAAAGCGAGAAAACTTTAATTTTCGTGATTAAAGTCTTCGCTTGAAATTGGATTTGTCGATAAGAATTTGAACACAATTTTTGTTTAAGTTCTTATCGGAATGTTAACGTAGGTAAAAAATAATATATTATACTCTTTCTTATTATTTCTATACATCGTAGATCACAATGATGAATGACCACGCATTGTGTTATCTTCGAATCCCAAAAAGAAAGTTTCCTTAGTTATAATTTCGTCGTTCTTTTGTACGCTAGCGTGACGGCTCCTGATTGCAAAAATTTTGTTTATATTCAACGGTCCGGAGTTATGTAACTAGTCCACAAACAACTTTACTGCCCTCGGGGTTTATATGGAT